TGGTAGAATAGACTTGGGCTGCAAGTGCTGCTTTTGTTGCCAAATTCATGGGTAGAAAGATGGGCACTAGTAGCCTACCTAATATAGTCTATATTAAGCAGGCTACCCAGTTTATATCATCCATTAAAAGGATCTGTGTTTTTATCCACACAAGCAGCATGCATCTTGGGATGTCAGTCAGTCAGACAAATCCCACAGATGTAGGTAATCCAAAGGCTTTTTCTCTGGCAGCATAATCAGTTTGGCATTTCTGGTTTTGTAAATCTTTATCTTGATAACTTGATTGCAATGAAATTTCCTTCAGACATTTGTTTTCCTGTGATAACTTTGATGAGGCCTTCAAAAGAACAAAAACTAGACTCAAGTTGGAACAAAGCTGAATTTTATTTTGACCGTTTCCCTGTATTCCACTCCTGCTCCACTCTGATGACTGCTGACCTCTCATCTAACTTGTATTTATCTGTGTGGGGGAGATAACAAGAGGCTAATACCTCATTACCCAGTGTGGAAGATGTTGATTGAAATTGTATAATATAAACAGCAGGAGCGTCCTTAATATTCTTTCAAGCCCCTGCCCTTTGCGTAGGAAAACCCCATGGGTGTCTTAATCACCCTCAGCCCTCCGGGTCTCCGTCAGTTGTGGGGTGCAAACATTTACTTTAAATTAACCCGCTTGAAGGAAAGTAAACAGACCTGTGGGAAATTAACTAAATTTTTTTGATCCAGTCACTGATGTGTCATGGTGACAGCTGTGACATCATTCTCTGCTCCACATTAATTCTGTTCAAACACAATATTTCCAGTTCTCAGGGTGGCACCATTAAACCATATGTCATCCTAGTGGTCACATGCATAGCAAGGGGATGGGTTATGGGTGAAGAGGACTGAAATTTGCTGTCGTGCACAGAAAATGTTGAAATGCCACATTGCATTCTCTGTAACGTGTAGCTCCTGCATGGGTGTATTTCATTGTTTTACTCCCTACTCATTAAGATGAGCGTTGCCATCTCATGTCCACAAATCGCCCTCAGCAAGCTTCCCGCTCTGCCAATCACTCCCTCCCACCTCCTGCTTGCACCTGTTCCCCATCAGCTGTTCTGCCCCCAGTTCAGGGGCTGGATGGTGGGACATCTGCATGTTACAACCATATATGTCTCAATGAAGAGACAAGGTCTCTGCCATTACAAAAACACCTCCAAATATTTGTTTGCAAATGCTGCTTTTGTTTGCCAGAAGAAGGAGGATACATAACCAATGTCTTTAAGTCAGAGAATCCCAAGATCTATTGTGGAAATATTCATAAATAACTTTGAAGTACTGGTTTAACTACTTTACACAAGTGTAAAGGTGCAGGGATATATACAGGAATCCGATGATTGTCTATCAAATTTCCTTAACAAACAACAAAACCTCACCTCATAAGGCATACGTTTTACAGGTTTCAGTGACATTTACCTCAGTGCGTTAAGAGTACATTAACATTTTGTAGTATTATCAAAAGTAGTGTGACTAGATTTCATTTTCACTTTTTTACAACTTTAATTTCTAAATCTCTGTACTGGGTAATTTTATTATATTTCATTCACACTGTGAGTCATCCAAAAAAATTAAAGAAATCTGAAAGCCCAAAGTCCCTCAGACGTAAGCAATGACAACAGACATGTGCGTGGTTCCTGGAATAAGGGGCGGGTCCCATCTCCACCATCTCCCCTCTGCCTACGTGCACGACACTGTGACGACAAGAGTTCGGTACACTTTGTCCTTCCCATCATCATCATCCCCGATCGTTACAGATCACATGAGGAAACTAGTAAAGTTGTGTGAGGGTTAATTAAAAATAAGTGTAAGTTATGACCTCTGCTCCCTTACCATTAGTCATACCACCACGAATAGCAACAAAGGTAATCATATTTCCTGAATAACAAGTTGTATTCTTAGTTTGATGTAATTTCAATTAATACGTACTTTTGATTGTTTTTCCATAAGGAATAACAGTGTGTGGAAGTTAAACCTGTGATAATTCTATTATATGCAGTCTGTGATTTCTTTAAACAGGCAGTTGATGCTGGATCCACATTAGACCTCAGTGTGTCTACATTGCAGCAGAGTGTCCTCTAGTGGTCTCAAGTGTCCCACTGATTATATCCCAGCAACCACCAGAGAGTGCTGCTAGTTCAAGAGACCCAGACAAGACACAACACCCACTATTATACACTCTCCTAACCTCTGACCCCTACACTGAAATACGACTGTCAAGGGCTCTTTTGACAGGGAGGGATGCGATAATCGGTGTGTGTGTGTGTGTATGTGTGTGTTTTCTTCAATTTGGTTTTAAATGATTTTTACCTGAATTTTATCTCGTGTTTCCAAGCATCAAAGCATCAAAGATCTGTTTCCTGAGATCCTTTAACTGCAGCTCAAAGTACACATGGTGTCTAATGTGGCCACACACTTCCAGTGGGAAAAACCTGTGAGGCAAAATGAGAGAATAAGTACCCAGAATCCTTCACTGTCCTCAAACAAATGGTTGGACATCTCTGATTTTATAATTGTGCCGACAAATTACAAGTGACTTGCTTTGATACAAGAACATTAATGGTTCTGTTTCTCTAAAGGGGATGGGACCACATCCTTTTTATAGTCTGAAGAAACTGACTAAAATTATCTCAGCTGTTACATTGTGTCTGTGTGTCTTACATGTGTCTGTTATTCACGGCTGTCAGCATTAAATAGGAATAAGCAGGTTTAGAAAATGAATTGTATTAAGATAATGATTTTAATAGACTAAGGCATTTCATCTGTAATAATGTGTGTGCACATATGTGTACTAATGAAGTGTTCCACACACACAATCAAAAATGAGTTCTCTTGCTATGGTCCAGTGCTCCTCAAGAAGCTTAAATCCATCTGGTTTGTCAAATCCATTTCATCACCACAGCACATTCCTCCATCATTCTTTCCCTCAGTTTTAACCTTAATAAAAACCAGTTCCATCTGGCCTCACACAAAAACACTTCTTCACATTCACAGTGGGAGCGGCTCGTGGGGGTTATACGACCTTTGCCCCCCCCCCCCCGATATTGAAATGTTTGTTCTTTTAGTTTTTCAGACTCACCACATAATACCTGGATGTGAGGCAAGAGAGTGACCTATGTGTTATTGTTCTATGATACTATGAAAATATTTGATCAGAAATACGACATGTGCTTTGTGTAATGTATAATATTAACTCAATAGTATTTTCCTGCACTTCTACCAGTGTCCAACAGGTGTCAGAAAACCTCCACTCTTCAGACCAAATCAGAGGCTTCTCTGGAGGATGTGTCTCTACTTACAAAACAGGGTTTTATAAAATAATAGGTGATCAGTTAAACAAAGCTTATAAAGAACCAAATAACCAACCAATTCTATCGTATCACAATTTTCAAAGAAGCAGCAGGTCAACAGCAGATTACGGGTTGATTCCTGTGAAGTGGCTTTGTTGTAGTTTTATAAAACATGTAATAAATAGTGCGTATTCTATAACTGTTAATAGTACATTTGTGTTATCAATTAGTGTATTGAAAATAGTTTAGTTTGAATGTTGTGTTAAAGCTACTGTGTTAAAACATGTTATGGTGTGTAATGAAACTGAACTGATCTGAACTGAACTGAGTGAGTTTGGATGTATGTGACTGAATTTAATTTGTTAATCAGCATTTATTTCACTTTTTGCACAAGTTTAAAGATTATTCTGAAACCCTTAAGTTTATTGACTGCAAAGAAGTCATATAACTGTTGGAATATTCAATAATCTTTTTAAGGAGGAATAATGTGATGATTATATTTCCTTTTTTGTTTTGATTCATCAAAGCCAAAGTCAACTTTATTTTAAATTCTGGCATATGTACAGGACATAGACAAATAAACTTATAAGTAGACATGTAAGTATACAACATATAAGTAACACAACATAAAAATACACAACAATAAGTATTCCAGAGACATGTAAGCACACAACATATAAGTCTGCAGTAAAACAAAACACAGCATAGAGTGTGCAGAGTTGTAGTGCAACCTGAAATAGTGCAAAAATACATAAAGCAGTGCAAATATTTGATGGCTAATGTTCAGATAATATACAGTTATGATGAATGGAAATGTTCATCCACAGGATGAGTAAAATAGCAGTAGTAAAACAACAGCATTAATAGTAAAATATATTGTATGTTCTATTATTATTGTCTTTGTAATTTCAATCCGCTCCTACCTGCATGTAAAGAGTGCATGTGTACTATTTGGTCAATTTCTGTTCCTTCCAATAAAATAAAAATAAATATGGTTTATTGTGAAAAGTATGTCGGGAAGTGAGAAGTTTATTGTTTGGTTTGACAGCGGGCACCGGAAGTGTCGCGTGACTGTGGGGGTCATGAACACATCTGGTAACAAGAACCATTTTTCTACCTCGTGTGTTTTCACGAGGAAGAACAGAGTTGTTATGTATCTGCAGTCCGCCGATCAGCGTGTTTAATTCGAAGCAGAGTCGTAGCTAACGGAGGCTAACGGAGGCTAACTTCGCTCCCTCAGCTGGTGTCATGAGCTCCTCTGAGGAAACTGGTCACAGTGACCTCATAAGCACACGTGTTCAGAGGAGACTGTACAACACAACGAATGTCTGCAGGGAAACTCGCACTGGTGCTGAGATCGAGTCCCTGCTTTGAACGTGTGCTCGGTTCATTGGGGTGAGAACAGAAGTTTGGTGGCACAGCTCAAGTTTAGTCAATTTGCTAATGTTTCTAGTTTTAGTTTTCGGTGGACTTTAGAATTAAAGGCGAATTTAAAGTTAAACGTTAGCAAAGGTGGATGTCTACCAGCGATCGAAGAGAAAATCCCGTCTTACCTTTCCACCGTTGTTCCCACCATATCAGTCCCGCCTAATTAACTCTTACATCTTTTATTTCGACGTCTCGCTTGAGCCCAAACTTGAACCGTCGCGCTTTTACTCTGAAGAAGAAGCGTCGAGGCGGAAGGGCGGATGCTGCTCGTCTGCTCGCGCTTCGACGCAGCGGGAGGAGGACACACTCCGCTGGGGAAGCTGCACATCATCGCCGGGCGGTTCTCCGGAGATCTCTCCTCGTTGTACGCGTAGGTTAACGGTGTCACACCTGGGATGAATCCGCCGAGGGTTGTAGCTCGAAGGCTGGGTGATGTTTGGAGATGTTACGTCGCCAAGATGGAGGGAAAGAGCTAAAAAGGAGACCCTGCTTCTCTCCTGCCGCTGCTCCCCTTCACTTTGCCTGACAAATTAGCTTCGCTAGCCCGTCGCTCTGTTTTTCACCTCGCAGATAGCAAACGTTTGTTCAGACACATCCACCGGCTGCTGTGCTATTCCACACATTTTACACCTTCCCCGTCTCTTCCAGCCTCCACGGGTGTGAATTAGCCAGGAACATGAGCAGGAGAAGACGATAAGGAGGTTGGCTTCCTGCGGGATTTTGCACAGGCATTTTCCTCTTGTTTTTTTTTTTTTCCCGTGGACATGCCTTGTCTATGGAGGAGGGAAGCTGAGCGGAGCTAGCTGGCCGACAAGCCCGGCTAGCGCAACGTTTCCTGGGTCTTTGGATGAGCGTTCAGCTCCAGGGTTAGCTGATTTATTTCGGATCAGCACCGCCTATCCCATCCCCTTCCCCGGGTAAGGAGGCAGCATGGGGGAGTCCAGCCTGGACGACTCCAATGTCAAGGTGGCTGTTCGTGTACGGCCCTTCAACAGGAGAGGTGAGGGGGCTGTCTGCTGCACACATTTGTCAAGATTGTTATTGAGACCCTTACCCAAAATGCACTTGTGTGAATGGAGACCGCATCTGTCAAGTTTCAGGATTAGGTGTGTCAGCTACAGTAACACCCACAGAGAGGTAGATCATCATCAGTAGAACAATGCAGCATCAATGGTGTTATTCTGTCTCAGACCCATATGATGCATACACTTCCTCAGGTTTGCTCTGACCATCTCACAGAACCTTTGTCCACAGGAGACAGGCTTTGATTTACTCTCCCCCTGTTTCATTTCCTGGGTGCCATTCAGAAATTACCTCCCATTAGTGAATTGAGCTGCTGCAGATTAAAAAAGGATGTGGTCTGGCTGGCACATGGTTGTACAGAGCTGCTATAGGGCTTCCCTTGTGGCCGCCTGCCATCTAGGGAGATTTAAAGTTGACTTGCAGTGTGAGATCCACCGTCCAAACTGTCTGGACTCTGTCTCTTTTGCTGGCTGATACAGATGCCAATAGCTTCTGAATCTGCCGCTCACTGCAACATCAAGGCAACTCCTGTGCTAAAAATAAAGCTTTTTTTGCTCTTCCACAGTCATCACTTTCCTCCCTAACATTAGGCCAACACACTCTTATCTCCAGTATATTCCCTGGGGAGATGCATATCCGCTTACATCCTCTTCTCTTATTTAAAAAGCTGGGCGAACAAAGGCACAGTGTTGGATAAATCTGCATGCACGCTCAAGTGCCCTGGTCAATTATATTACAAATTTTCAGTGTCATGGAGGAAGACACGGATGACAGTTCCTGGTCGACTGCCAAGTTGTGTTTTTTTTTGCCGTGAGAGACCATGTGTCCCATGAAAGAAGGAGGAGGAGGAGGAGATCTGCCGAGGCAGAGTGGTTGACCGACAACTGACCGAATAAAACACGCATCCCCTCTCTTTCTCCCCTCTGAGCCAGAGTAGTTGGTCACAAGACCAAGGCAGTAGATTCCCTCACTGTTCCCATAGGCAGGGATTTAGTATTAACTCGAGTGTAGTAGAATTCTGCAGTGGCAATGACGTTTTTCGGTGACAGCTCTTTGCAAGGTTAGACATTTGTTTTGGACACACAAAAATCCACATGGATCTGAGAACATCAACCATGAGTCAGTAGGCTGGGTGTTTTTGAAGACAGTGGTGTCACAGAGAAGTAGAGTACAGATAAGCTCTTTCAGAATTCCTTCTCAGATCAGGTGTATTTGGATTAACAGAGGTAGAGAATAACTAAAAATACATTTCCTCTGCCACATCCCTTTTTCACCCGTCTGTTTGCTTTTTTGTTGGTCTGTTTGATTTTCTGCAGGATTACACTGTTACTACTGAACAGATTTCCACGAAACTTGGTGGAAGGATGGGTCATGGTCCTAAAAATGACCTATTACATTTTGTGTTGGTTTTAGACAAAGATTGGAAGATGTCTCTCAAAGGTTTTAGTTTTTTTTCAATTTTACAGATTTCCCAATGAGTAATACATTGAAACTGGAACAGAATTAGAATATAGCCCCCTTTTCCACTGGTCAAAAAACCTCACAAACATCTGACCTTTGCCTGCAATGGGAATGGATAGGATCAATACTCACTCCCAGGTCAAATGACTCGGCTGTAGACACAGGTTTTTATTGGCTCTGGGCTGGCTCTCATCGGCAGTTATGGAAAGAAGACACTCTGGTGAAAGTGCTGATTCGGCATTTCCTCTATTGACAATGGGAAAGGAGTTAATCATTTTTTCTATCAGGTTTACCAGCATAAAAAAAAACAGGTGTAATTTGTGAGTCTTGATTGAATTTCAGGGGACTGTTGTGTTGAGCCTTGTCGGAGGTATGTGCTCTACTGAGTGTTATTTTAGTTTCCAACAGTTTCTGTGTTCCTGATGCTTCTCCTCCTCCGTCAGTGTGTGTTCTCTGACCTGACAGGTACAGCTGATGGCAAGCTGTCAGCCAGAATCATTGGATTTATTCTATCATCCCCCCTTTTAACCCTAACCCTCCAATTCTAGTGTTAGACAATGTTAGACTATGTTATTTAACACTTTCCACACAGATTAGAGTTTACTCTAATGGCAGCCTTGAAGTGTGTGAGTGTAAACTAGTTTCGATTTAAAGCTAAAGGAAATTTCAGAGGTTGATGTGACGCTGGTTTGAAGCCAACTGTGGTTGTTGCTTCGTAATGTGCAACACTTCACACCAGCTTCACTGTTGCAAGGTGTCAAACATGCAAGACTTCCTCCGGCAGCATTGTGCATCTTCCATTGCTCAGCATAAAATAATTAAATCACTATTTTGGTAAAGGAGACAAGAAGGCAAATTGATGGCTTCCTGTAGCCAGTGGGTTTGGAAGCAGCAGTGCCACGTTTCCAGCCGTTCTGAATTGCTTTCTTTCTGGTTTCTCTGACTGAATAGGACTTCTGTCCACATCTACCAGTGTAAAGACGTGAATGAGTTGAGATAACCAACCAAAAGACATGTCAGCTGATAGAAACAAAAAAAAAATCTTCAATCATGTGTCACAGTTAAAAAAAAGCTATTCTCATCAACCATTAAAGATGTTGTTCTCCTTGCTCACATTCGCACCTCTGCTCTGCTTAGTCGTGTCCAGGCACCTCTATTCTGTCTGCTGCTGCTGCCAGTTGCTTCAGGACACAGTAGCCATGGTTGTGGGGGGGCTGAGGATTACTCATTCACTTGCCTCTCTCACATTTCCTCAGCAGCGGTAATTCAGACCTGGGACACTGTAATATTAAGCAGGCTTTTTTACCTCGAGGCCACTGTCCCTATGTATCCCAGGTTGAGGAGGAGATGTGGTGTAGCTGCCTGGTTGAACAAAGGCAGGAAGGGAGTGAGTCTGAATGAATATTTGCTAATGTTGCGTAATGCTCCGTGTTCCCATGGCCGTGGCCTTCGAAGAACGGAGCAACCCCAGGCGTAGCAACGGCAGCACTCCGGTCAATCGGCTGATGTCAGGGTTGTTGTGCCAAAACCTCAGCACCGGTAGCTGAGGGAAGGTCCAAAGAGAAAGCCAGTGGAAACTGGGAGCCGCTTATGGAGCAAGGAGAGGCAGATAACAATGGGTACATTTATCCTCTCAACCACACAGCATCACACTTTCCCTACTGCTGAGGAGGAAGCACAGCTGCAGAACTATGGGCATGTGGGTAATGTAGGCAGTAGCAGCGGAGAGAGCAGAATAGAAAATTGTCTCCCTCATCCCCTGTATGTCTGAGTTACTCCCCATCTTTTTTAACATCTCTTCCTTTCTCCCTCACTGTCCCTTCCTCTCCTCTGGTTCACTTTCCATTTTAGCTTTCTAGTGTCTTTGACAGCTGAAGAATTAGAGGGTGATTCAGGTCCTGTGACCGTTGACACCAAGTTTCCATGGCTCTACCTCTTTTCCTGCCAGTAACAGCAATGTTGAGGCCCTTTAAATAGATTCTCCAGCCCTAAATCCCCAATCTTCCTGGTTTGAACGGGCATGGTTAACCTCAGATAGAACTGCTCAGGTTGAGATTCGCTTTAGTGTCATCCCCAATCAGACTGATGGTAGTGAATTTTGACTGTGGCTGGAAATTTAAACTCGTCATTTCTAGCCTTTCAGAATAGGCGGTAAACTTGTGACCCCACTGTGTACAGATAAAGTGTGCATTTGCATATGAGATTGTTAAAAGAAGACCAGGCTAATAACTAGATGATAAAAACACTCTTGGCAGAACACATGGGCAGTAGTGGCCTGGTACCGTTTGGTTACGATGGCAATATTTCTTGCAACAGCACACATAATACACCAATAACTTGTTGTCTGGGGAAATCAGAAAAGTTTTTCAATTTTCTCTGTCCTCTATAAACTGTCATGATCAAGCCTGTGTGGTGCGTTCATTCGTTAGAATAGTGTAGTTTTTTTTTACCAAGCAAAATAGGATCAGCACCAAAGTGCACATCCTATTAAAAATGCGGATCCTTTGTATTTAAATGTGGTTTGAGAAGGAGACTGTTGGGCCCTGGAGGAGGTATGTGCTCTCTGTGCCATTCTAGTTTTCTGCATATCACTGCTTCAGAGTCATGGCAACACCAGGTAATATTGCTTTTGACAGTTCTTGTAGAAGAAAGGGATTCAAACCACAGAATGTTTTTTTCCTGTCTCAACGCATGCTCTTGCATTGCTGCTGCATAATAAAAATGATAATCAACAGCCATCTGGGGCATGATTGACTGATAGAAATCTTAAACAGTCTGCATGTTTATACTGGGCCACATGGCGATGTAAGTATGGTGCTAACATACCCAGCATCCTTTGCAGTCATGCTTCACCTTTGGAAAAGAATAGTCAGTTCCTTCTGAGTGGACATTGAGCAGGAATGGTCACTTGTTTACATGTGAGCCCTGAACCAGGTCCTACATTTGAAGGACAGTGTTTATTATCAGAGTGTTTCCTCACTGATGTTGTGTCCTTGAGCAAACGCTGATTTGCAGCGCAGGGAGTGCTGTGACCTCTGACCCCCTTGTAAAAGGGGTCACAATAGAAGAGGATATGCATACCAGGGGCAACACAGGGGGCAAAGATTCCTGAGCTCTGTCTTTAACTTCTATCTCTGGCTTTTGTTGCCTGCTTTTACAAACAAGCCCCCAGAATTGTTATCGATGTTCCTAATGTTCACGCCCCGTGAAAAACTAGTTTGATTATAAAAAGAAAAATATTGTCATCCCAATCAGGCCCAAATACATACTTTTTTATTACTAATTATTTAATTATTTTGAATGATCTTTTACGTGTTTCATTTCCTGGGGCCTAAAAAATAATGGTAGCCTGCAGCTGATAAATTTGTCTGCTTTTCAAGTAAGCAGTTATTAAAATACATTTCTTTTTTCTTTTTTTGTTTTCTGACTGAGCATTTCTGCCAGATACTGGATGCCCAGGATGTGTTGGCAGCACTTAGCTTCTATGTCGACAACCGTCATTAGGTCTCATTGGCAAAGACAGATGAATAGAGAGTCTTTGCAGCCTCATGAATTTACTGTGCGGTCCATTTTCCAATGCTTCTGCTGGTGACTTAAACAGAAAGGCTTCTATTAGAACGTTATACGACTGAATCTGCTATGAAAACAAACCAAATATGCAACAGTTTATACTTATGAACACTGTCAGATATCTGTTTTTGGGGAACAGTAGTTACGCTGTTTGTCTTTCTTAAATTCTCATAGAAGCGTGGACATTTTTTCTGACTGGACAGTGGGATTGTAGAAGGCAAAACTACACCCTTGATGAAGTAGCCTCAATTATAAACATTATATAGAGACTTGTGATGTCCCATACGTATCAGTCGACAACGCATTAGGACCACTCCTTAGGTTCAGAGCATTTGGTGTTTTGAAGGCAAAGTGTTGCAACATGACACAAACAGATCAGGGTCAGTAAAGGACATCCTTAGGTGTGTGTGTGTGTGTGTGTGTGTGTGTGTGCTTGTTTTGATAAAGACAGTCTTGTTGGTTAGCCTAAAGCTAACCCCCAAGGTAAACGGTCATCTTTAGAGTCACTGTTTCCAGGTCTGCTCTCACTATTGTTTGAGGTTGATGTTCCACAGGAAATGATTGTGCTATTATGCCACTTCTCCCACTGCTCATTCCATAATACAGAGCTGGCTCAATCACGGTCAGATGTATGATCCAAACGTTTGTGTCATTGAATGAAACAGTTATATGAAATGCTAAATATTTCAAATCTAAACAAGGAGAAACAAATATGGCTTGTCAAATTTGGCAGCTTTATTTCCTCCATGTGAAGGATTTAGGGGAAGATACATGTCACTGTTTTGGAGATGGTGACAACATCTGTGGTTTCATGACATGTTCTACTCAGTTTTATGAAGTAGAGCTGGACATGCTTAGGTTGTTTTGAGGTCCAGTGATTTTCAAACTAACTGTGTGTCGTCTGATCCACAGAAAAGGAACTGAACACTAAATGTGTTGTGGAGATGGTGAAGAACCAGACGATCCTCCATCCTGCAGGAACCAACCTTGGCAAAGCAGACTCTAGGTATGTTTGTTGCCTGACAATATTTTGTGTCCACATTAATGATTTATTCTTTTCATGCACACCTAATAATCATCTCACCACTCAGTGATTAATACATCCACCCTACTTTGATATTTTCCCCCTGAGTTGTTCAGTTTATCACAGCATGTAGCTTCTGTAGCACCACATGAAGAGTTGTTTAGATTTTCATATTAAATTGATTCCTTTTTTTACATTTATAAAACATAACAAGATTTACACAGTGAATTTTCAAGCTGTGACCCCCCCCCAAACTGTGAGTGGGGGCATGATGTGGAAAAATGCAGGTGCATGCAAGTGTTCTAAAAACACTTGGAAGTTAAATCTTGTTTGTCCTGTTTGTTGACTCTCACAGCTCATTAAAAGCATGAAACCCAATTTTTCCATTGATGAAATGTCCCTCAAAAATTGTACTCCTTCTTGGAGTCATAAAACACTCATACCTAAATAAACGATGATAAAAGATGATAGATGTATTTTTAGATTTATTATAGTTGGATCTTTCCCAGTATGATTATCTCCACTGTGAATTGCAAATAGAAAAAGATTTGATGCACCTAAGACTAGAACCTGTCTGACAATTATCATGTTGAAGTTTTCCTGAGTATCAAAGTCTTCCAGTCAGTTTAATTGTGGGCGCACTGTAAACAACAACCATTCCTGCCTAATACCAAGTTAATACTCACTTTTCCCTTCCCGTCAGACAGCGTTGTTTCAGCTTTTTGTTCACCTCCTAACTTACTTGGCACGTGCCACACAAGGCCAGCGCACACACAAACATGGAATGAGCTGGAGGCAAGAAAATGAGAACTGGTCAGTCTCTAGAGAAATCTCTATGCTCCCTCAATAATGTCATAATGAAGGAGCATAGAGATTCTCAGACAGCTACTGGAAGGAGATAGCAGGGACTGCAGGTAAAGATGAGACATTCTGCAGGAAACCATGGAAAACACTCACAAGCCCTAAGTGGTGCTCCTGGTGGGCACAAGTCTGTGCCAAAACTTTCTGTTACCTCTTCATGGTACCTTTGTCTCAGTGTGGTTTTCTTTTCTCAGCTGCGATAACTATTGTGTAGGAGAAAAACTGCAGAGAGCCAGCATCACAATTGGCTCACTCAATGACCTGTCTGTTAAGCATAAGCACAGGTTTTCTCTGCATTCGTTAAACAGTGCCAAAATGTGAATGGATGGCAATGACCACAGGGAATGTTTTGGGCTCGCAGTTATCTTGATTATATCTGAGGGGGAGCCCACACTGTCAGACTTCAAAAACCCCTCTCTAAACTACAGTAACTATTCACAGCCATGGGACTCTATAGCTTCTTCTCAGTGGTCACAGGTCACTTTCTATTGGCCTCATCACACACAGTAAGTATTGTAGTAATCCATACTGAAAACCTCAAAACATTTCTTGTGTCCATTCCCTGACCCCTCCTAAAAGGCTTGCGTCTGATTTGTTTGGAATGTCCCCTTATAATTATGACATCATTTTTGGCAGGAAGCTGACTGACCAGCTGTGTACTAGAGACAGGTGTATTCCAACACAAGTCACTTGTTTCCCCTCTCTTGGCCTTCACTCTCTCCTCCATGCTGTTAATCAGCTGCTGTTAGTGGGTAATGCTGAATTGCGCTCAGGGTCTTGAATCTCTCGGTGCCTGCACTGAAGAAGGCCTGAGATCCTGTTAATTGTGGTTGCATCTGTCAGAACAGGAATGTGTGCATGAGTTCAATGTGTCTGTCTGAGTGAGGGAATGTTTCGCCAGCGATCACACCCTGCGAACCTCTGCAGATAAAATGCAGGGACGACAAACTGTGAAGTTAAACTCCTCATCTATAATGAAAAAGCTCTTATAAATACAGTTTTTCTTCTGATTAGGCCAGTAGGCCCTGCTCCTTTGCCGATCCACCATCTTGGAGAAAAGTAGCAAAGTGACTGGTGGAAATGACTGCAAACTGGCAGATCAGAAATGGTGAATGCCGGCATCTGTCCTGTCGGCTTCAGGAGGAGGTTCAGGGGCAAGCAGCAGCAGCAGCGTGTGTGTGTGTGCGTGTGTGTGCGTGCGTGTGTGCGCGTGTGTGTGTGGTGCGTGTGTGTGTGGTGCGTGTGTGGTGCCTGTGCCTAGAAGAGAGACAGGATTAGTGAGACACAAGCAAAACAGAGACAGCTTTACAAGAAAGAACAGACTCTACTCCGCTCGTCCCTCTCTATCAAGCAGTAACTCCCCACCACCCAGCTTCCTCCCTTTTTCTCAGCTCTTCTGTCTCTGTGGCAACGCAGGGGGAGGTTAACTCAGGGTCGCCGTCAGTGACCGTGAAGCCCCTTCCTTGGATGAGGACAAGATGGAAGAGGGGGAAAAACCCTCATTTACTCGAGCATCTGTCGACCATAAACTTCTCCTGGTGACTTTTATGTTGGACAGAACAAGAGCGGATCTGTAGTGTCTCAGTCTGTGTCTTGGTGACAAAAGAGCGAGGAAGCAGAAGGAGGATGGGCTGACTGACTGCTGCCCTCCGCGTGCAGATGTCATTTTCATTTGGTTGACATTTACATAGTGTACATTGGATAGTTATGTTTTTACTCAGCATTTCACGTGGTTGTTAAAAGTTGAGAAAGTTTGCCGTGCATAGAGGAAGTGTGCTGTAGGATGTTGCAGGTGCAAGTTGTTTGCTTAAGCTAATGGAGTAACCTCCGGGATGCCCATTGTTTAAAACTGGGAAGACGTACACCACCAGCTCACCTCCATTCTACCAGTTTTATTTAAATTTCAGTCCAAGTCCATTGAATAATCGCAATGTTAAAAGTTTAAAAGAAAAATATAAATTTAATTAAAAAAAAACTACTAAATGGATTTGCACAAAACCGTCTGAAGGATGGGCCAAGAAATGGGCCAAGTCATTTAATTTTAGGTTGGATCAAGGATCTATGACATTGTGAGTCCACAAAACACTTCTGGAGACTCTGAAGTAAACTTTGTAGCAGCTGAGTCTGGTAAAATTGAAGTAACTGGTGGCCGAGACATCAGATGTAATAAAACAAAAGAAAAAAACATACTGTCCCTGCATATTGCTCGCTGGTGTCATCCAAGTGTCCGCAAGCCCCAACTTTCATATTCAACTTGAAACTAGGTCATTTACACCAAGGTTTAAGCCTAAATATCCGCTGATAACTTCCTACGACCCTTGGACACACCATTGTGTATGCTACGTCCACTAAGTTAGCCACTTCCTGTGGACTTTTAGGCTTAAAACACAGTGTAAATGACCTTGTTTCCAGTCGAATATGAATGTTGGGGCTTGCGGACACTTTGATGACACCACATGAGCAGTATGGAGGCATGTTATGTTTTTTCTGGTGTTTTATTATGTCTGAGGTATAGGTCACCATTGACATCAACTGTATTGGATTTGGCTGCTACAAAAATTCACTTCTGAGACTCCAGACACTGGACTCAAACACTTCACCCACTCTTCCATTGACATAGTGGTGAGTAGATGATGAGGGAATTTTCAGTAAACTATCCATTTAATGGCAAAAATAAATAGAGGTCGCTTAATGTGGGGATTTTCTGATTGACTCACTGTGTTTCAAAGATTCTCTGGTAATTTAACCAACAAAACTGAGCAGATTTCTTATGATTTGATTAGATGTGAAAGACAGATATTTTTCAATAAGCGGCAAAGATGTCAGACCGTTCTTCACTGTAGCACAGCAGCACCAACATTAATATCATTTGACGCCAGAGGCGAAAAGTTGTCTGTTTGCATGTTAAAGTATCGTAACTCTCCACCATCATGTCAACACAGCTCAGGACTGTAGTGACACACAACATCCACAGACTATTTTTGTAGCAGGATTCTAAAACATGAATAATTTGAAAGATCTTAACTTTAAGGTTGTTTGCTTTATTATTTTTTTTTTAAGTTTTTCCTTCTTCTGCTGTGTGCTCTTGATGGTCTGATTCAGTTTTTCCGCCAGTAACGCTCTCTGGGCAGGCCAGATTTAGGTTCCTCATGCTGCCACCCTCAGTGACTCACCACAGTGCTGACATTAATCCTGTCTCATGAAGTCTCGGGTATTTAGATTTCTCTAAGCACTGTTTAGAGAAGGACCTGGTTTACATGGTTTTCGTTGCCATCTGAGGATAGAAAATCTTGCATTGCTTCATTCCTACATTGTCTTCTGTGTCCTATCTGTTTTTACACCCGCCCTGCCTGAATCACTTTGGTAGAATCACTCACCTGACCTCCAGGGATGTTTTAACCTCCAGAGTTTGAACTGCAGGGTTAGGGCACTGTGTGCTAGTGTGTCTGATAAGCAGCAGACCGCTAACCTCTGTGCTGCTGTGTGGTTACAGACTGCAGTCTGCATGATGACCTGAGGCTGTTTACATTGGACTAGTGAAGCTGGATGTTGACACACTCTCAGGTCCTGTCAGATGTCAATGAGGCAAACTCAAGTGCCTTGGTTGCCAAGACGATGTACAAAAGAGTGGCCCTGTATCATGGAATGATGGCGGATATTTTTTCTGTGTGTATCAGCATGTGTGTATGGTATCTGTGGTGTAATTGTACTCAATAATACCTGTGTTTAAAGTATACAGTATATTTGTGAATGAAGAAAGGTGATATTTGAAAGCAGAGTGAGGTCAAGTGTTTGACCAGTGCAGTCTGAAGTCACCATGTGATGGTGTGAGATCTTTACAGTTCTCTAACATAATGACAGTGTTAATAAGTGAAGAGTGATAATCATTGACAGGCCACAGTGGCATGTTTTCTCTGGAATCTTCCTGCTTTGAATTTATTTGCTTTGACTCAGTCACACTCAACAGCGCTTCAGATATTTATTGCTGCTGGCTTCACAAAATGAATCCAGGTTGTCTGAATTTACTAAATTATAATGGTACTGCAAACATTCTGCAGCACATGCTTGTAAGTGTGTGTTGACTTTATGTGCTTGTGGTAATTTGGACATCTGAGAATTGT